ACTTGCATACAAAACGTACGTATCTGTGCCAAGTCTCGACTTGTTTTGAAAATCACGATATAGTGTGTATTGAGACTGATTTGCCTTAGACCATCGGGAAAAAGACACTGACTTAAGAAATAAATACTAAGGTTTCTGTGATGGCTACCCTTAATGAAGAACTTAAGGATTTCCTTATGATGTGACTTAATCTCGTCCATAAAATCATCAATTACTATTAGCTTAGGGCCTTGTCCCGTAGGGTGGTCGTCGAGGACAGGAAGCTCTTGCCTAAATTCAACCTTGTCTTTTACCTCGTCATATAGAGGCTGCCACTCAGAGTAATAGAAAATAATTTGTTCAAATTTTATGTTGAACATTTCATCTTTATTTTCAATCAGGCGCTTCATGAAAAAAGTTTTTCCACTGCCCGTTCCACCTACCACGAGGGCGGTGCAAGGATGTTGGAATCTGAGATCCATTGCAAAGACTGATAGCCAAATTTATGTGGTTGTTTCTTTTATAGGGGCCTAACCAGCATCTCCCCTGCGCCGGTGGGGCCTGCCTGCCTCTCCCCTGCGCACTACCTATGACTTAGGCGCCTTCAAGCTCGTCCATGGCTTCGAGGAGGTCTTGATCCTCCTCGTCAGCCATGGTCCAGTTATTGAAGCCGTGGGGCACAGTGTTGTTCTCGCCCACTCTCCGGCGTTTGGTGTTCACTGGGCGCCAGTTCTTCTTGGTCGCCCGAGTAACAATTCTCCAGCCGGGGAGGCGGGCAATCTGGCGAGGTATGGGGACGGTAACATTCTCCTTGCGTCCCAGTGCCATAGCCTTAAGATTTTCAAAGGTCACAAGGTCATCGCAGGACTTATTTATTGATATCCCGCGGACCTTGATGCACACTTTAGTGTTGTTGGTGTCGCCACCCACCGCCACAACATAGGAATAGTTCTTAGGTCCCAGACAGGCTATTTCTGTTATAAAAGAGCCAGCACCGAAGTCCTCCTCGATCTGGTCTGTCAGGTCACCCAGATGGGTGCCTGTACGCAGGTCTGGCTCATCTGGACGGCTGATGTAACATACGCTGTCAGTATCCGTGTACAGGGCGCGCTCTCTGACCACGTCCAAGTATTGGTACAGTTGGAGCCGCCCATGGCAAGTGGTGAAGGCGGCGTGGATCAGGGAGGAAGAGGGGAGAGACTCCTCGGAGTCCTCGACTGGTTTCCATGAGATCTGAAGGTAGTCCTCACCTAGTTGTAGAAAACCTGTCACCACTTTAGCTGGGTCTGTTATGAGGGACATAAGTTTCTCTTCACCGGAAATAAACTCTGTCTTTGACCTGAGAGTTTTCTCCCCGAATTTCCCCCAGAAGCTGTTGCACATCAGCTTCGCCAAAGTGCGCAGCGCAGGATTTTTTTCCATCTTGGTCGGATCCAACTCTACTCCGTCATGTTTGAGGGTGTCCTCCACGAACTTGGCTTTCTGCTCCTCACTGGTGCAGTCGGCAGGCCAACCACTGGCCTGTATTTTGAGTGCCATAAAGCACCGTACATAAGCGGACAGTAGACCGTCTTCCCCTGTCTTAGGGTTGTACTTGGATGTCTCAGGGTACTGGTACACCTCGTGAGTGGCTAGGAGTCTGTACTCCTTTTCCCTCAGGGCCAGGAGAAGCTCAGGAGCACACCAAGTGCTTGTGAGTTTTCTGTCATCGGGATTCTCATGATGACAGATTTCCTTGCTTCCTGTCTCCGCACAGGTGCGGCAAAGGGGGAACTGTAGTTTCCCGCCGCACTTGTAGGGGAGAACAGGTATGTACAAGTCCCGGGGAGGAAGGACAGTACACTTAATGGCACCGTTCCAATAGTCAGGAGGAGCCATTTCCGGATCACCCTCGAGGTAGATTTCAGGGTGCCCGATAGGGTACTCCCCACGGAGGTTGGCATTCGGGTACTCTGACACAACGTCCACTAGTTTTATTTTCTCGCCTTTGGAGAGATCAGCTTTGTAGTACCACTTGAAAGCTGACGTCCGTCCACCTGACAAGGCGTCCCTGAGATTGAGAGGCGGAGCACGAGTGGTGGGGTGGGTTTCAAAGTAAGCCTTGGTGTCAGGGTCTGACGCAAGGTCTTGCTTGAAGGCGCACTCCCATTTCTCCACAACCGTGTATCCGCTTCGGCGGAAAAGTGAGGTTAGGTTCATGGTCTGTTCGAACCTGTTCTCCGTAGAGTCCTCTGTGGCAGGAAAGTGTGTGGGGCACTGGTGCCAGTAGCACCCATGGAATTGATAAATTCTCTTTTCCACTGTGCCGTCTTGGCGCGGTAGCTCTACGTACCCGTCGACGCGGCGCCCCAGAACAGAAACTTCTCTGTCAGTGTAAATTGTGCTGATTTTTTTGCCCAATTTATGTGCTTCAAAGTCAAGCCACTGGAGGGCGATGTGGCTTTGTTTACCTCTGCCGTGGTATCCCCCCGCCGGGACAATACCGATCGTATTAGGTTGAAGGAAATTTCGGCGAAAGGCCGCCATGCATGCACTGCTTAGAGTGATGCAGTTAAACATCGGGTCAAACCCGGCCACATCCTCGAACAACTTCCTAAATGCCTGGCATGCTTGGCGCAAGATGGTCACATCTGAGATACAGTAGTCGATCAACTCCCGCCGGAAGTTGAAAACATACTCGTTCGCCACTTGTTCGTCATACCAAGCATTGAAGTCTGCAGCCGCCTTGGACTTCATGCCAGACACGCAGTACAAGTCCCTGTCTAGCAGTGGGCCTTCATACTTGTAGTACTCAGGCTTATTGGCCAAAAATGGCCAGTAGCCTTTTTTGAGTTCGTCGAGGCCAAACGATTTGGGCATGGCACTCAGAGGCATAGGCATAAACATGAGTGAGTCAATAAACTTCCAGTTGCCTACCTCCATACAGAGGATTTTGGCTCCCTGGAGTGTGATCTCACACTTTAGTTTTCGTTTGACAATTTCTTGGACTGCGAAAACCGCGTCGAACGCCTTGGCATTGTGTGCCACCAATAGTATCTTTGTCTTTGCCCCAAATGATTGGAGGTAGTTGAAAAACTGCTCCATCACATTGAGGTTAGGATCGTCCAAACTGTGGAAAATATGCTGTCTGGTCTGACACACAGTGCAGAAATAATCATTGTGGGGTATATGGGCACAATCACTGCACACTGTTTGACATACGAGCAGATTAGGTTTGTGCTCGAATGTGTCTGGCTGACCCTCTACAGGTGTATCCTGCCTAGTTTCAACGTCATAGAAGCAGCTCAAATATTTGAAGTTCTTTTTCTTCTCTCGCTCACCCCAGGGCTGGATGAAGCACAAGTGATTTTCCTGCACATTATTCTTACAATATTTGCAGTAAACAAAACCACAAACATGTTTCTGACCCCTCTGGAGTGAGTAACTTTTCTCACACCCTCGACAAAATTTAAATGTATCACATTTTGTGTGATCTGATTGAGGGAGCTTTACTGTTTTGTGAGCATCAAAACAGGCATCGCCAGCGAACTGGTGGCCGCAGTCCTGGCAACGCTGAAGCTCACCAGTGTGCTCATTCTCTCCAAAACACCTCCAGCACGACCCCTCACAGCGATGGTCCCCTTTATTATTGTAGAAAACCATGCATTTCTCACACGTAAAGTGTTTTTCGAAAGCAGCACCGGGGTACAATATAGCATAGAAATGATTGTCATGGAGCAAGAGGCAGATATTTTTTCGTGTGGCAGCATAAGGCCCCTTAAACACACACTCTTGTCCGTCTTTGTCTGTGAACACAGAGAGGCGGTAGTCAGGGAGGGAATCCTGAAGCTTCCTAACCTCATCTATGCCACAAGGTTGGTTGGGATCAATTTGCGCATTTGCACACAATTTCTTGGCATTATCCCGCTGAATGACAGAGCACGACTTCTTTATCCTTTTGAAAGCGTCTTTGGACATACCACCTTGAGCCATAAGCACAGCCACGCAGCGCGACAAACACATGTTGTCAGTGTTTTCAGGAGAGTAAATCGGGCCTCTAGAACCTGTTTTTCGCTCGATCCACTGCTCCATAGATTCATTGGCGACGCGCGCCACACGGCGCCCGCCAGCCTCGGGTGTGCGGACGTGGATATAGCTCACTTTGAGCTGACCATTAGCCATGAATGCCTGATTAGAGTTCAAGACTCGCGCCAGTTTGTCTAGAATGACGCGCCCATTCAGTTGGTCGACGCGCCGCATGTTGAACCAGAGCGGGTTATCGACATTCTCCGAGTTCTCTATCTCCACGATGACGCGGTCATCGTCTTTGGCATTGACGGCCTCGCGCTGCCTCTG